TGTGCCCGGTGCGCAGCCTTGACACCACTCGCTGTTCTCGTAGGTTTGGTCGATCCTTCCAGGTTCCGGTGGTCGCCTTGATCTTCCGAAGATGGTGTGTCCTGTTGTTCCTCCACGCGGTGTCTCAGGCTCTCCAAATCGTCCGCTTGATCCACATTTTGACATCTTGGAGCGGTACATTGCCGGTGGACCTGGGTCCGGTGTGGCCTGAGCCGGCGAGGTGGTCGGCTTTTAGGTTCCCTTGGATCCCGCAGTGACCGGGTACCCACATGAATACTGTGTTGGGCGGTGCATGCTTTACCGTTCCTTGGATCCACGGATGCTTCGGTGTTTCTGTTGTTAGGGCCAATATCACGCTGTGTGCGTCAGTTACGACTAATATCGGCCGGTTGGCCGGTAGCTTAACCGCGTGGAGAATGGCCGCTGCCTCAGCTGAGAACACCGAGCATTGGGTCGGGAGCGATCTGCTCACAAGCAGACCATCTCCGTTCCCCATTCCCACTCCGCTCCTGGAGAGAGAGCCGTCGGTTACCTAACTTCATAACCTTGGTAGTGCGCCCCGAGAGTTTCGACAACTGTCCGGCGTAAAGCCAGCTAGTTGTCTCCTGCCCTGAAGCGGTCCTTGATTCGGTTGTCAATTTTAATCTTGTGCGATTGCCAACTTTTGTCAGTGTACCCTGGCCAATGGAGGGAGATCTACGTCGGCGGCCATGCGGACCGTGATGATGGCCAAATCTTAGATCCATAGGCCAACATTAGAGCCATTTCCCCTATTTGGTTAATATAACCTTGAGATTTCAGTGTTACATCCACCTAATGCTGTGAGCTGAGGAGACATAAAGCTGCATCTTATTATATGTAAAATGTTTATTTTTTTCATTGCAGAATATCAGCTATTTTATCCACATAAATGTATTTTCATTATTTCGTTCGGATATATTTCATTTCTCCATTACATATATTTTCATTATATAAATACTGAGTTGGGAGGGAGCATCAGGGTATCATTTGACCTAGAACTGGACGATGGAGTGGTATGACAACCGGAGTCTAGGAGGAAATAAACACTATCATTTTCTTTATCCTACCGATTCGATTGTGGTGGTGTGAATTCTACTTCAACAGTTTCAGTGAGATTGACGCGCCCTTCTTTACAAACCATCCGGTATGTAGCTTAATAAGTATTGTGAATTGCGTTATTCGATTTGTTTGATCGTATCGTTGGAAAGAGATTCTTAAATTCCCATGGATTTCGCGTAAGTGTCTCTGCTTACGGGTCCGCACCTCCGTTTTTGGCCTTTCATACAGCGATATTGTGAATTCAGATCGGTAGCTCAAATTGATCTTGCTATTAAGTGGAGCTGCATACAAGACAAGATCCTTGAAGGGATGGTTGTTACCTTACATACATTACATAGGGGAATTTACGTATTCTCGGCAACCTAAGCAGCGACCTTCTTTCTATAGCCTTTTTCTCTAAGGAACGCACACATATGCAGTATAGGTTTGTTTACAATCTTTTGCTGCCAGCTGCTCTAACAACTTGAGTCGAAATAATTGTCAAAAACTGTTTTGAAACGCTTTTACAAAGCTCCAATCTTCTCTAGTGAGAGCGAGTATTGTCGGCAACCAGTTTTTCTTCGGCAACCGTTCCATTTGAAATCAGCTACAATTTGTAGTGCGTGTGTTGCATTTCAAGAAAACCTTGCTAGATTGCTTTTTCTAGGTGGTAAAAATATAGTCAAATTAAAGCTGAAAGCGTAAAGAATCGTTTGCATGCATTCAGCGAAGTGTTTTCGTAAAGCTGGGTTTAGACAGGGCAAGTCAATTGATCAAGTCAGTTGAATTCAATTGGCTTGAAAAGTTGAGTCTGGTTCAACTTTTTTCAATTCAAGTGAGTTGATCATGTCAGTTGAATGGCATGGTTTGCACGTTCAATTCGCGTTCAAGTCAGTAGAATTCAACTGAGTTGATCATTTGATTTGCCTAGTCTAAACCCAGCATAAGAAAATCCAGTGAAAATAGTGTTTCAATTTGTGTTGCCGAAAATAGTCTGTCATGCCGAAGCCGTCATTTCCCCTACATACAACAAGAAAATATTGTAAAGTTTTTGTTTGACACATAAAACCTGCAAATGTAGCTTTGACAGAGTCACAATGAGCGATTTGCTGATCGCCTCTTCGCAAAGAGTGAAGAACGAAGATTGGGTGAGATAAATGACAAAATCGCTTATTGCGACTCTCATGTAGCAAAATTGCCAGGTATTATGTGTCAAACACAAATCTTTTCTTGTAGCTTACGCAAAAAAATAATATCATAATTTCTTATTATTCCATAATTTCACAGAACATTTTTCTAGTCAAAATGAAATGAAAATTTTAAGATAGTTCAAATTAGAAAAATTGCAGGCTAAAGATTTTTATAGAACATCAGGGAAGTTAAAAGAACTCAATAAAAATTTCTGAAACTTAGCAGATGCTCCAACAAATTTAAAGAACTGCAAAAACCCGTCGGAAAGTTAAGAGACTTTCAGGACAATTTAATTGATTTCAGGGCAGTGCCAGAAACATCCTTAAGAGAATAACGCGAACCTCAGGCTAGATTAGAGAACTTCAGAGTGGTCCACATATTTTTAAAGATATTAAAAGACGATCCGAGCAGTGAGTGGACATACTTGAAGTTTCGGGATTTTTTTTTTGCAAATATGTTCAGTTTAACGCTCTTGGGTCATTCGTGACTTGTCTGGGGGTGAGATTTAAACTCGTGACTTTGGTGTTAAAGGTATGGATGCTAACCATTACACCGGCGTCACCCCCACGGGAAAAATTTCATGGACGACTGCGGGATAGTAAGGTAAAATTTGAGAACTTCTATAACATTTTGGGCACTTCAGGGAAGGTTTGAGAACTTCAAGCTGGTTCTATCAGCTTCATGGAAACTTTTAGGAAGTTGTAAGATCATCAGAAACAACAAGAAAACTAATAACTTCTGAATACTTTATAGAAATTACAACCCGAGTAGCACACTTTCATCACAACAAGTTACAGCAACTTGTTTATGACTGAAATAAGTCGTATATAAGTTTCTACAATTGATTTGTGACAAGCGTGCTACTAGGGAAGAACCTTAGCCAAGCTGGTTCTTGAGATCTTCAGACAAGCTCAGACATCTTAAGGCCAGTTACAATAACTTCAGGAACGGTCAGACTTTTGAGAAAGTTTAAAAATCTGTAATCGATTATTTTAATAAATTCAGGATAGCTTCATGAATTCTAGGAAAATATCGAGACACTTAAGTCTATAGAACTCATGAGACATTTAGAATACTTCGTATATATTTTGGAAACATAACAGAAATCCAGAAATTTTCAGGTGTAGAACTTTATGAGAACTACACGAACTTCCGGGAAGCTCCAATAACGTAAGAGAACCTCAGTGCAGTTCAATTAACGCAGAGTTTTCAAACCTTCAGAGAAGTCCGGAGCATGATAGAGAAGTTTTTTGATTTTAAACACTTTTATAAATTTTTGGAATGTTCAGAGTATTTGAAGGATGATCAGAGGTCGCCAAAACGGTTTCTATAATTAAATGCTGAAAGTTCGAATACTTCTGAAATGCCTAGACTTTTAAAGATCTTGAAGAATTATTAATAATATTTGGGTTTCGATCCAGGGGTGAGGGATTTAGGAAGTTTTAGGAGATCGTAAAACTTTTTGCGCCGAATGGAAGATGGTGTAACTTTGTATCCCATGAAGAAAGTCAAGTCCAATGACTGAAACGTTGGACATAAATCGTCGTACCGTTTTGATCCTGATAATCCAATACTGAATAGAATAGTATTTTTAAGTTTTGCCGATTTTGCATTTTTAAGTTATTCGTGACTTTTGTGGAATTTATTTTAAAGAAGTGAGAGTGTGAGTGTACTCCAAGGTGGACTCCTTTTAATAAATTATTATTTTATTTGTTTTTCATTTAATTTCTTAACATCGCTTGATACTGGTAATTTACCGGTATTACCGGTATTACCGGTATTGAACTCTCAACTTGAACTCCGAAATACCACACAGCAAAACAATAATTTGTGAATAATGAAAGTGAATGCACTTCAATCGTGTCAAAACTATGGTGTACTATTACTTGCCAAAAAGGACAAAATTACCACAGTGCATGAACTGATATTACGCTTGCTTATACTGTATTTGTTTATTTTTGTGTCCATTAAAATTACATGAGATTTTCGACATGATTGAAGTGCATCCTCTTGAATGTAATATTAAAATTTATTTTTTGCTGTGCGGTACTAACAAAAAGGGTCCGGTACTGACAACCCTAGTGTCAACAAGAAACTAGTTCTCTACAGAAATTAGCTCAATGAAGGACAGCCGAGGACATCCGATAAACAGCGGTGAGAGGGCGGTACCACCCAGCACTGCACTGTTTATCTTGGCATATAATTCGCGTGACCTTCTGCGTGAAACACATGCATGTTCCCAGACATTTTGAGGTTCACAAAATGTCCATTCTATTCCTTGCGCTATGGGTGCCTATAGGCACCATTCTACAAAATAAGGATTAGGCTATGTGTCACCGGAGTTAAACTGGTAGGAATTATCAACGCCATGCGCCATCACCTACAGTATCTCACCTGCGTAATATTGGATTCAAAAATATCGTCCAAAAGCGATAAATATTGAACCGTTATTCCATTTCGACTTTAATCCACCACTGAATACGTAAATGATCCAACTTAGTCACAGTCATATCGCCTGTCCGGTATCCAATCATGGTGGATTGATTCCTGCCATCGTTCGGTCAGTTCGATTGAAGACAAAACAAATCTGTGCTACCAACATGCGATGATCGATAACGAATAGATAAAGACTGGCTGATGGTTGAAGGTTTAGGCTTCTGTGTGAGGAGACAGTCACTCTAACCGCTCGAAATTTTGCATCGGTTTTTGGTAACCGATATTATACACTACCATACACTGATCGGCCTGGTTCAGTATTCTGTCAAAGTTCGGTCCGGGAAGGTGCAACTTGAACGCTCGGGTCGGTCGAATAACTCTGTGATAATATTTTCTGGACGTTTATCGAATAAGAAGGAGGTTGAATAATAGAAATTGTCAAAGTAAAGCGTCGCGTTCCTTGAGCACAACAATCAAGCCCAATAGGTTCGTGTGCTTCGTCTAACTGTGCATAGTCAGGTGAAGAGACACTGAAACCACCAGCGGAGTCTGCAGGCATTTCTGCATTCAGTCATTGTGTGAATCTAGAATATTGTAAACACACGCGTGTTCATCCATAGTGCCCAAGCTGTCATACTCACATACTACGCATCCCGACCAAAATGTTCCGTCTAAATCATCTGAGAACGTGAATGGTTGGCATTGTTTCGTGTATAAAGCTGAATATTGGTGTAACGTACTGGCAGCGTGGTCAAATATTTTGTTATTTAATAAGATCTGAAGTTATTAGTGTGAAAAGAAGAATTGTTAGCTTCGGCAGCAAAATATGAGGACTTTCAGCAAACGTACAGCGTATTGTATCTCGGTACTTTTGGCATTCCTATGCAGTACTCAGGGCTCGATATTTTACGTTCAACCAGATGAAAATTCAACAGGTGAGTGTTAAATTAACTCTAAAGTTAAGTTATTTGTCATTCATGTTCACTATTTGTGATCTTTAAGGACATTTACAAGATTTGCATTTCAATTATGTTTCGTTTTTAAATGAATTATGCATCAGTAAGAATCATTTCAGTTCAGGAACTCTGGACCCTATAAAGTTTGAATGATTCAGTTTTAGATTTTGTTTTTAATTCTAGCATATTAAAACTGGAACATATAGCCATAACTGCTTCACAGTGGGGCTGATTATTCCACCTTGCTAGTACACTCAATTATGTTCTACATAATTTTTATCAACAACCGTAGTTTTTATCGTGTGACTTAGTTTTGTTTTAGCACATCCGCAGTTGCTGATTGAAAGCTGAACCTAAAATTTGCGATCCACTTTATAAATTTCACGACCCACCAATAATGAAGAAAGATATTGCAAGGTCAACGTTACCTTATAAACTACAGAACGGCTTATAAATCCCAATGTGCCTTCAAACTGCACAGTTGCCTGAAGCCCACTCGATAAAACGGCGAAAAAATAGCAATAGTTAAAATAACCAAAACATGCAACACATGCGCATAAACGATCAATCCTCATCGTGTTTATTCGTGAAATTCACATCAAATATTGATAACTTGCGTAAGAAATCAATTTGGTATGGCATTTGTGACAGGCATACACCTTCCACCCGTATAAAAAAGGTCCAAAGCTATCCAAATCCACTCGTAAATTGTTTTATTCTGGCACTGTAATGACAAAATAGTGAACTTTTCATGAGCATTAACGGCAAATAACTCACCAACACTAGCGGACCGTGAGTAGTTCACCACAATTACATACTCCCATCTTGATCTTTAAGTATCTCCACAGCTGTTAATTGACAGCTTTCTAAGCCTTCCCATGTTTGCATTAGTATTAGTTTGTGGCAAGTATAATCATACTCTATGTCCAGGGAAGTTGACAAAATTTCCAACTCGAAATATTCCTAAACCAGCTTTTGCTTTTTAGCTTTATATCATGCTTCATTTTGCTAGCAATAGGGACTCTTGGGATTCCCAAAGTAAATCAGTATTTGAAAAGAGCCAACACGCATGAAAGCCTAAAATAAGCATTGGTCACTCCAAGTGCAAGTGGGTAAAATCTGCCATGATCAAAAATGTACCTAATGAAAATGTAGACAGAGACCTACATATCATTCAAAATTTAAATTTTAATCAGTGAGATGGGTCAGATCTCACCAAAAACGGACACATTCAAGTTTTTTTTTATCCTGTTGCAGTCGTGTTGTGACAATTTTGGAGATTTGAAGACCATCTTGGCGTTTTCCTTTTTTTTATATGTTTCAGGCTATTTGGACGATTCTAAGGCCAGTTATTAACCGGGAGATGTTTCGGAACCTCCTTTAGCTCAGTCGGTTCGATTCCCTGTCATGTCTATAAATTCTTTGGGTTGGGCAATTTCTCGACTTCCCTGGGCATAAAGTATGATTTACTTTGCCATACAATAACACTTATGCAAGAATGGGAAGGCTTAGAAAGCTCTCAATTAACAACTGTAGAAGTGCTCAAAGAAGTGGAAATCCGGCGTAAAGTCTGATCTGAGAAGCTAACTTTTGGTGAAGAAAATCACTTTGTACACGAAAGTTAATTAATCTCTTCAGACACTGTGTGTGATGGGCTTTGGTCTATGTCAGAAACTGATCACATCCCGGAACTTTTTGCTATCTGAAATGATGAGTCGAAAAGAAAGGCTATTTTTTTTTTCGAAAAAGCGTCCAAGTAAATTGAACCTTATGGAGGAATGAATTTTGGTGCTGTGAATGCGAGTGCGTGAAAATGCATCATAATCTCAAGTGTGAGAATTGTTTGCCAGATTCGCACGTGAGTTTATTCTCTCAGGGAGACTCCATGAATGAGATTTGAAAATGATTTTCTTAACACTGCTTACCTGAAAATCGGCACTCCTGGCCAGTGTCGGTTTTTATCATTTACCATCGCAAAGAGTTCTGAAAATCTTCGCTGTCACGAGCGAAATGAAAAATAAGGGCTCTCTTGCTGTGCGAATCTATTTGCTTTTTGCTGAAGGAAGTGTTAGTGATAGCTAAAGCTACAACACATTTAAACAGCACTTGTCAGTGCTCAAATTGCTAAATTTCTACCTTGTTTGATCTTTATTCCTCTTCGATCCTTGTTTGGACTCAACGCGAGGTAGTCCTCCTTGGATATCGATTTGGAAAAATCCTCTTCGATCCTTCGGATTCTTACATGGTGGCCAGCAAACCGCTAAAACCGGGAATATCGTAAAATATTCAGGAATTTGAAAAGTAATCGGGAAAACCGGGAAAAACCCGGGAATTCGGGGAGAGAACCGGGAAAAATAAATAAACTATACCATAGCAACAAATTTTTACACCAGAATTTCAGGATAAACCCTTTAAACAGAGTGATTCTTTACCAAATGAATGTTTTGCTCTATTTGCTGCATAATTTTCTTCAGTTTCCCGTCTTATTTTTTTTTTAGAATTTAATCACTCAGCAATATTGCAAATTGATTTTTGTCGTCTCAATTTCAGATGTAAAGTGCATGGATCTTAAAAGAACATATTGAAGATGCTGGACTTTGGATTTTTTTTTTTGTAAAAACCGAAACTGAATTATTCTTTCCCGGGGTTTGAATTTTTCCTTGTTCAAAATTCTCATGATTTGAATTCCAGAATTAACTTGGAATTCTGCTCTGAATTATTTTGAAATTGTTCTGAAATAAACCAGAAAACACTCCGCGAATTTATTAACGTTGAATTCTTTTTGGAATTTCCTTACAATCCCTTCTAAGAATTTAATTGGAATCCTTCTTAGAGTTCTCTTGTGCCTATCCGGAGACCTTGATTCCTTTGAAAATCTTTTCAAAAATTTCTTTTAACTCTATTCAAAACAGCAAAAATCTTTTGAAATTTTATTTAGAAACCCCATGGAGTATTTAAAGAATTTCGTTCTAATTATCAAAATTTTTTTGCGATCAATTTTGCTGGAGTTTTGTGATGAATCTTTCGTACTAGGGTTGAAATTATTACCGGAACATTCTTAGAACTCAGTTGCTTGTTGAATTCTGAATATAATTCTCTAATTTTATTCAAATTCATCTTGCATTTTCCTCGCGATACCCATTTAAATCTCCTCAGAATCAAGTAGGAATCAGTGATGGGCAAAACACCGGTACAGCACCGGTACGGTTTTCTAAAGCATAACCAATGTGCTGATCTGATCTGTTGTACCGAGCGTATGGTGCGGTGCTGCTGTCGGTTCGGTTTGGTAGTTGCAAGTAACACCGCACCGTGTTCACCAGTTCGCTGCACACGGTGCGGTTCTGATTTTCCAGTACCGGTGTTCTGTGTTCACAAGGATGATGTTTTGAATTCAAGAACCGATCCGGTACTGTTGTGTGTTTATGTGCGTGGTGCGCATTATTCAGAATTGCCAGTGATGGCAGATAACTAAACAGAAATTGTATTTGATGAATAATATTATGCAGTGTCAAGTCGAAATAGCGGTTTTTGAATACAGAAAAACTGTGAATTCAAATGATGTATTACGCAATGTGACAATGAATCGGTGTGACGTGGAGATCGGAAATCGTCAACCAACGCCACCTTGAAATCCAAGATAGCGGCTTCCGGTTATAGAAAAAAATTTAAACACCTTTAAACACCTGTCAAATACCTTTCAAAATGGGAATTTCCGGAATCAGGGTGACGTCTTGAGACCGGAAATCAATGTCTGCCGCCATTTTGAAATCCGGCTTCCGGTTATACTAAAACTGGGAAATAATGCCAAATATCATTCGATATGGGTATTTTTGGAATCAGAATGACTTATATGTACCAGAAATCAATGTCTGACGCCATTTTGAAATCCAAGATGGTGGCTTCCGGTTGTAGAAAAACTGGGATATAACGCCAAATATCCTTCACTATGGGTATTTTTGAAATCAGGATGACGTATATATACCGGATATCAAAGTCTGACGCCATTTTGAAATCCAAGATGGCGGCTTCCGGTTATATAAAACATTAAAAGCTGGGAAATAATGCCAAATATCATTCAATATGGGTATTTTTAGAATCAGGATGACGCATATATACCGGAAATCAATGTCTGACGCCATTTTTAAATCCAAGATGGTGGCTTCTGGTTAGATAAAAACTGGGAAATAATGCCAAATATCCTTCAATATGGGTATTTTTGGAATCTGGATGACGTATAAATACCGGAAATCAAGGTCTGACGCTATTTTAAAATCCAAGATGGTGGCTTCCGGTTATATAAAAACTGGGAAATAATGCCAAATATCCTTCAATATGGGTATTTTTGGAATCAGGATGACGTCTTGAGACCGGAAATCAATGTCTGACGCCATTTTGAAATCCAAGATGGCGGCTTCTGGTTAGATAAAAACTGGGAAATAATGCCAAATATCCTCCAATATGGGTATTTTTGGAATCAGGATAACGTATATATACCGGAAATCAATGTCTGACGCCATTTTTAAATCCAAGATGCTGGCTTCCCTTTATAGAAAAACTGGGAAATAATGCCAAACATTCTTCAATATGGGTATTTTTGGAATCTGGATGACATATAAATACCGGAAATCAATGTCTGACGCCATTTTAAAATCCAAGATGGCGGCTTCTGGTTAGATTAAAACTGGGAAATAATGCCAAATATCCTTCACTATGCGTATTTTTGAAATCAGGATGACGTATAAATACCGGAAATCAATGTCTCATGCCATTTTTAAATCCATGATGGCGGCTTCCCTTTATAGAAAAACTGGGAAACGACGCAATTTTGGAACCCAAGTTGGAAGCCATTGGTTTCAAAATGTGTCAAATACCCTACAATATAGGTATTTTCGTATAAGCGTTTAGATTTTTTACCGAGAAATTTCGGTTTGTTAGCGAAGACCTCAACAAAATTCCCGTTTTTTAGCTCAATCTCGGCA